TTCTGCCATTCAATACATATATTATCTCTATTGCATAGGATGTGTTGTCCGAGTCGGTCCTCCTCTTTGACGGGACTCTATGTACACAATCATAACGTTTATGTGAGTTTTGGGATGCGTTTTATGGAGACAAACATTTGCAAGAATACAATACAATAGCACTTTTGCATTTCTAATATTGATTTAACGTATGTTTGCGTTTCGCAACTCACAGACAAATAACGACAATTGCAGTTCACAACACTGGCAAACCACTTACGAGACCCGAACTTTTGCCTCTTATCTCAGTAATGCCGGCTATCGGACGGGTAGGACAGACACACAGCCAAACCATTTATGCCCACAATTATAGTTAATAACAGTTTATTATATCGTATTTGACAGCATTTTTCGGTAAATATCTGAATGAATACAACGGGACATACATTCCTCAGGGATGGAAGGAATGGTCGGCTTTAGTACGAAATTCGCGTTTTTATAATTACACACTGAATGTGAACGGGAATAAAGTGAAACACGGAGACGACTACCATCTAGATTATTATCCCGACCTCATTACCAACGATAGTCTTCAGTTTCTGCGTTATTCGAAGCGATTCTTCGCTAATAAGCCTTTACTTATGGTGTTATCATATCCGGGCCCTCACGGCCCCGAAGACGCCGCCCCGCAGTTCCACAACCTCTTCCTCAACGTCACAACTCATCGGTAGACAAACACTTCAAATATTGATACTTTGTTTAAGTAAATAATACGATCTCAATGTTTGAATATCTTGTTTCCGATCTAATAGTACCAAAAGTTGGAACTTTGCTCCAAATCCGGACAAACAATGGATCCTAAGAAATACGGGTAAAATGGAACCGATTCACGAAGAATTCACTGATATGTTACACACAAAACGTTTACAGACATTACAATCGGTGGACGAATCCGTGGAAAAGGTATTCAAATTACAACATAATATTAACTTTTGTTTTAATAAATTCTTTCTATTTAAACAGTTATACAATGAGCTCAAAGAATTAGGAGAACTTGGTCTGTATTCACTACTCTTTGGTTGGCATTAAATGACTTAATAAAATATATTTTTATTTCTATTTTAGACAACACGTATATATTTTACACATCAGATCACGGCTACCATTTGGGACAAGTAATTCTAACTGACATTATCTAATCGACACACAAGTAATGTGTTTTGTTTTAATTCAAATTAGTTTGGATTAGTTAAGGGCAAAGCCATGCCTTTTGAATTTGATGTAAGGGTTCCCTTCTTTGTGAGGGGACCTAAACTAACCGGCGGTCAAAAGTATGTCATAATGTGTTTTGTTTTAATTCAAATTAGTTTGGATTAGTTAAGGGCAAAGCCATGCCTTTTGAATTTGATGTAAGGGTTCCCTTCTTTGTGAGGGGACCTAAACTAACCGGCGGTCAAAAGTATGTCCATCTTATCAAACCATTTGCACCATTACTTTAATAAATTTTATTTATACAGAATTGACAACATTGTGCTCAACATAGATCTGGCGCCTACTTTCCTGGATATCGCCGGCGTTAAAGTTCCCGATCATATGGACGGCAGCTCTGTATTGCCTTTGCTTAAGAAGACAACTGAAACCAATAAATCTGATGTCGAGCTTAAAAAACCAAAGGATGTCGAGTGGAGGCATACTTTCCTCATTGAAAGAGGGTTTGTATTGATTGTTAACACAAATTAAATCTAATGTTTAGTAATTACTAATTATTTAATTTATTTAATAGAAAATATACCAAAGAGTCGGACAATCCTTTCCGGACTCTATCGAAAAAAGAGTGGCTCACAATTGAATGCCAAAAACCCGAATATCAGTCTCCGTGTAGTCCTTATCAGCGCTTTGAGTGTTATTTCGATGGCTCTGAGACCAGAATCAGGAAATGTAGAAAATCCTATTGGAGTCCTTCATATCAGAGAAAAGTACACCAGAAGTGTATTTGTTCTTCGGATCAGTCGACCGATACATCTGATCATAAATACGAGGAATCATTTGATTTAAATTCCGAAGATTTACTCATAAAATCCAAGAAACGAAAACTGGATTCAAATGAGAAGAAATTGCAGCGAAGGTTCCTTAAAGAGCATGTGTTTAACAAAGATTTTCGGCCCATTTTTATCAGTTCCCGAAATAAACGAGAATTAGATTTACTGA